AAACAACCCCTATACAACGAAAGGAGACTGCGACCACACAAAAGGCCACACCATCTTGGTCTTCATACCTATATGGGATATATTTAATTCCCCCGGGGATTATAATGTAATTTGAGTTGGAGTAGTATCAGCCTATTTGAAGGACTTCCACTAAAAATAAAATTTTCAAACGTGTGATTGCCATGATGGTGTGGCCTTTTGTATGGTCGCGGTCTCCTTTCATTGTATAGTAATTGTTTGATCTGGCTTTCGCAACCTGATCCTATTGGCAGTAAGACATAGAGGAACGCAGATTGTCCGGAGTCCATAGTATCCATGATAATTTATTCGGACCGTGGACATGGTACACTCCTAGACACTTCGCCGGCATCGTCAGTGAGTCTTTCCAGTCTTAGTATCATACCACAACTCGCCAAATGGAAAAGTGAAGTGACCAAATATCTGTCAAGCAGTTATAGTATTTCCTATCCTGGTGTATTCACCCCTCCCATATCCTTGTAATACTTCATCACTAACGCAATTGCTTACTTACTTATTTTGGTGTTAGTTCGACCGTTAGTATCGAATCCCGCTTGGGGTGCTGAGATTTAGGCTGAGTCAAAACTGCAATCCATCGCGGATAAAAATAACTGCTTTTATAAGTAAACTTTAAAACATTTATGCTGGGTTCATTTTCATATACAATGTGAAATATAACCTGCTATGATATTTATCATAATATACTTGTAATCGTTATCATATCGTCACGACTTACTTGAATAAGGCTTGACCTGAAATTCCACTGCATTAGAGTCGATGTCTTTTGACATGAAAAACTTAGAAAGGCGAAGAAGCGAAATATAGGCCTGGGAAACATAATATTGATAGGCATTCAGTCGAGAATTAATAAATAAATGGAATATTATGGAGAAAAATAGGGAAAAAAAGAATGAATGGGAAAAAGGACCATTTTATTTGCAGAAAATGCACCATTTACCTTTATTAATGAGATATGTCAATTTTTAAATGCTAGGCTTGAGCAAAACAGAGGTCTTCGACATAAGACTACGATTTATCCATCACATTTTGATTGATTTTATGAAAATATCGCAAACACCTCTTTAAAATAACTTTTTAATGGAGTTATAAAGAGCATAATTGTATAATAAATTGTAAGGGCAGACGTAAGCATGGACAAATTTTGGGAGCAGTATCTGATCGAATTATATGTAGACTGGCTCTACTACCGTCTAGTTTATATGGAAAGAAGGTGGGGTCCGAGGAATCCCTGGATAATTTCAGACTACTCCATCTTCCATTTAGAAGGAAAGATTAGTTGGCAAGGGTATGAATACGAACATTGAAATCGACTAATGGACAATAAATTAACTCTTAGGAAAATGTGCAAGAGCTCCAGTAAGGTATAAGAAGAATAAGAACAATTGAGACAGATAGTCAACAATAAACAAGAAGCAATACATAAACTGTCGAAATTTATCTGCCTGAAGTTAAGAAAGGTAAATGACAGAATATCGAATACCGTGAAGAATTCATACGAATTTTGCCAAGAATCTAAGGTACTCGACTGGAGATAAACGAACTATTGATAAGCCTTGACGTACAGTCAATGTACACCAAAATCTCGGGAGAAAACTCATTCACGGCACAACTGGAAGTTAAACCAACATCATTTAACTAAAGAAGACAACGACCAAACAGAAGGCCACATTATCTTGGTCTTCATATTTACGACCAGCGTCCTCAATCTAAGGAAATTAGGGTTGGGCTTTCAGTTGTCGTGTTGTAGATATTGTAAGAGTGAAACCATCCTTTAGGAAAGCTTAATTAGGCAACAAGAAATAGGGTAGGTTAAAAACCTGCGACAAGTCTGACGTTGTCCAATTGAGTGTGCAAAGCCTTCTAGGTTTATTGTGAAGTGGATTACATATCGCAATAAAGAGGATAGTAAATCGTTAATTTCGTAAATAAATAAGATGTATCATTGCAGATTTCAACAATAGTATCACAAACGGTTTTGATCAGTAATAGTGAGATCTAGTCGCCCTCGCTTATTGATTTCCCTCGATCGCTGCCATCATATCCGTGCCACTCGAGACGTTATGTTCTACATTCTGCCTCAAGGCTTTGACAACACGCATATTACAGCCTCACTAAGCAGGCCCCTAAAGTCTGGATTTTCAAGTAGCATCAAAAACCAACTTGATGCTACAAATTCCCTTATCACTGTGCCGCACGTACACCATGTAAATCTCGTGGTCAAGTCTTTACTTCACGGAAAGCGTCTGAGCAAACTCATCTATTAATAGCAAATATCTATGTTAGCCGCCGCATCTCTCGCTCTTCTATCCATAAATTTGTTATACCCTAGTCTCTTGTGTGACAATCCCCAAAGCTTATAGTTGCTTAACTTACTTTCCATTTGCTCCTCATACTTTTGCCTGTCTATTACCACAGTCGTTCTTGCCCCATCCGCCTGAAGAACGATTAGGTCATTCCTTCATAATTGTATGCGTATCTTTATCAATCCTCTCCTTTACTTGCTCTTGATGTGCCAGTATACACGGGACTAATTCCATTTCCAGCTCCTATTTAGTCTCTTCTCCGAGATGTTTACAACCTCTAGAAAAATATCTTTTAAAATCTTTCCTTCGCTACATAGTGAAAAATTTAGCTTCTACTTCAGGAGATGTATGGTTTCGGAATCAAGAGGGACTTAGGATAAGCTCAATACCTTAGCCCATCGTACTTTGGATCAGTTGATGTGGCGGCAGCGATCAAGCGAAATTAATGAATCAGGGGGCTTAGAGACGGATTCTACGGGGTAAGAGGTAGACTCTGTTAGGACTAGGAGGAAGCGGAATGCGGACTAAACTGCAGCCTTAACTGAACGTCCCGGCACAGTGAGGGGATGTGGAAACCAGCGGGGAGTATGAATAGGTCTTGGTAAATCAACTTAAAAAAGGCACACCTTGAGCAGATTTTGATGAGAAAGTAAGTAATTGTGATAGTGAAGATGTTTTACGAGGATATAGGAAGGGTGAATACAACAGGACAGGAGATAGCATAACTACTTAGCAGATAGTTGGTCAAACAATTGATTGTCTCTTTGACGAGTTGGGGTATGATACTAAGACTGGTAGGCTCACTGACGATGCCGGAGAAACATCTGGGTATGTACTATGTCCACGGTCCAGCTCTGGAAATTACAATATATACTATGTACTCCGGACAGGTGCGTCCCTCTAGGCCTTACTGACAATATGACCAGGCTGAGAAAACAAGTACTATACAACGAAAGGAGACCGCAAGCATACTAAGGGTCGCACCATCTTGGTCTTCACACAATCTATAAACTATAATTTTTTCTAGGTCTATCGCCTGAGCATCAAAAAGGGTCAAGTCCAGAGCCAATGTCATAAGGCTAAAACAGAAATGGGATGTAGAGCAGTTACATTCTTTAGCGTCGGACTTATATTTGCTGCAAAAATTATAAGATGCTTTAGATTATATAAAACATAACAGTGACCTAATTCAGAGTTATGTCAATCTACCATAACCAAGGTTACTCATTATTTAACTGCAGAATTATGTAAATGATAAGAGAGTAAAGAGATTCCAAATTAGATATATAAATGTGAAATTCAGTCAAAGATATAATAAGGTCAAATAAGCAAATAATCTCAATAGCATTTAATTCACCATTACAAGAGAAGAAATACTCCATGGCAACATAGTTAACGGCATTCTGAGAAGGTTGAAGAGGGCAACTGAAACGAATATCTTTTCCGGGGTCAAAAGACCTTCAGAAATGCTTTCGTTGGTAGTTATGTTTGTGTTAACATAAGATATCCAGGCATTTGAAGAATTATATGCGATTACCTTATTAATATAAATGGAGAAGGTAAGAAGGAGAACAGCAAAGGGTGCCATTGACCATATCAACTGGACGACGCCATAGCCAAAAGAGACTCGAATCAGTTGGGCCATTTCAGACCAACGTAGAAAAAAGATGCGCTTTTCAAAAGCTGGCTCCCAGGCATACAGTTTAATAAGCTGAATAGATAAGTAAAATAGAAAGAAAATGAGCATCTTAACTGGAAAATAAAAAGGATTTTTCGTATGTAAATAGAGTTTAGAGACTACTAGTATCTCTCATATTATTGGTTTACTGGTAGTCCCAAAAATCTACTTAAATACTAAAAATAAGTAACGCAGTTCAGTGTTATAGAAAAAAATGTTTGTTTAATCGACAATCCCACCAAAAAAGGTGATATGGCAAAGCCCTGGCCTTCCTTGACATAAACCTCTGTCCTGTGACCCAAGAACACTCGTGGTCATGTGACCGAGTGGTCAACGTGTCAAGCTCACATGCTGCACTGTTACGGTCCGACTCCTGCTGGGGGTCGGACTGCAGATCGAAACTGCAGTCCACCCTGGATGAGAACAACTTTTTGGAGAGCAAGCCTAAATGAAATTTAATAGAAACGTCGGCTCTACTCATATCATTGTGGAAAAATTCTACTACCAGTCCTTCATTACCATGAACAAAATAGGGTGAATACAACTCATATAACAAAGATTTTATCAATAACAAAATCCGACAAGCATTAGTAAATAATTGAAGGAATCAATACAGGGATCTCCGGTATAACAAATAATCGAAATAGATTTTTTATTTGCTTAATATTTAAATTGTTTAGTCATGTATATTGCAAGCAATAAGCTATACAGACTGGATAAAAATATATTGAGCCCTCGAACATCTTCACCAACTCCATTCCTAAGTATTTCCATAATAATACTAATTTTATTGGCTTTACCAGGTAGATGCTTCAAAAATAGTAGCCAATAGTGGAAATTTCTAATATTTAGATATCGTTTAAAAGCACTACCATACAATAAATTGCAAATACTCGCCTCTTAATTAGTTGTCTTATTTATCTC